GTGAAATATCTCTATAGGCCAATAGAGTATTAAAAAAATATATCAGGTAACATTAATTCTTCTTGAATCTTCATATTAATTCTCGCTTGAAACATCTGTACAATTTTTTTTTATTAAAAGTAATATTAATGAAATATACAGGAAGGATAAATTCAACTTTTAAGAAATAATTTGCAAATAACTCTTAGAAGAAATAAGAGATACAAATGAATTATTATAATATATCGGATTTATTATTAATTTATTTTTTATTATATTTTGATGCACACATAAAATATTAATTTTGCTAATTCAATTTTATTATCAATTTTTCGTAAAAAAACAAATAAAAAATTCCTGTAACTTGAAAAAAAAATAAATTAATAATAAATCCGATATATTGTAATAACACATTTGTATCTTTTATTTCTTTTAATTATGCGTCAAAAAATGCTTGTAATTTGAAGAAAAAAAAATTAATAATAAATCTGATATATTGTAACAACACATTTATATCTTTTATAATAAATAAAAGTGTCTCCAAAAAAATATTTCCATTTTAGAAGAAGTATAAATTATATATAAATTCATGTGAAATATCTCTATATTCCAATAGAGTATTAAAAAAATATATCAGATATCATTAATACTTCTTGAATCCTCGTATTAATTCTCGCTTAAGATATCTGTACAGTTTCTTTTTTATTAAAAGTAATATTAATGAAATATACATTTGTATCTTTTAACAATAAATCCGATATATTGTAATAACACATTTGTATCTTTTATTTCTTTTAAAAGAATTATTTACAAATTATTTTCTTAAAAATTATTTCTTACAAGTTGAATTTATCCTTACTGTATATTTCATATCCGTACTGTATATTTCATTAATATTACTTTTAACAAAAAATAAATAATATTCTGTTTCTGTGTTTACTATATACATTAGTATACACGATATGATTTGAATATTATTCTCTGTAATAATTAATTTTCTGTTAACGCTTTATCATTCGTTGTCGGTGTTTCTTTTTTATTAAAAGTAATATTAATGAAATATACAAGATAAATTCAACTTTTAAGAAATAATTAAAAAAATTAGTTTTAAATAACTCTTTTAGAAGAAATAAAAGATATGAATGAGTTATTACAATATACTGAATTTATTATTAATTTATTTTTTTTATATTTTGATGCATACATTAAAATATTAATTTTCCTAATTCAATTTTATTATCAATTTTTCATAAAAAAGCAAATAAAAAATTCTTGTAACTTGAAAAAAAAAAAATTAATAAATCCGATATATTGTAATAACACATTTGTATCTTTTATTTCTTTTAAAAGAATTATTTACGAATTATTTTCTTAAAAATTATTTCTTACAAATTGAATTTATCCTTCTTGTATATTTCATGAATATTAATTACTTTTAATTATTTAAGTATTACTTTTAACAAAAAAGGAATAATATTCTGTTTCTGTGTTTACCATATACATTAATATACACGATATGATTTGAATGTTATTCCCTGTAACGCTCGCGAACATTTCTTATTTTTATTCAACATTTGATAATCAACAAGGACGAAATGATTCCGGGAGCGTTGCGAGCATTAAATAGAACATACCTTAGGGCGCATTCTCACTGAGTGCGTCACGCGTCGCGTTATCCGAATTGACCGATCAAAACATCCCATTTTATTGAGTAATTTGCCGCGCAATCCTGGATTTCATACAAAAAAAGATTATTTTATATCTAGAATGTCAAGTAATTTAATCAATGCGTCACGCAAAGAGTTGCGTGGCAAATGATGCAATAAAATGGGATATTTTAGTCGATTAATCATGACGTGACGGATGACGCGACGCGTGACACGCTCAGTGGGAACGCACCCTAAATACACACAGGATGCGGCAACGCTTACCACACTGCGAAAGTTAGCTAGGGAATATTGCAGTAGCCAATCAACATCTCGTTTAACTAATAATAAAATTTCCGCCGCACGGAAAAAATTGAATCAAGTTCAACTTTTCCGTGTGATGGAAGTTACCGCGGTATTCTGCGTGTAGGATCCAATAGTAATTTTTAGAGAAATGTAAATAAATCTCGAGATAAAAAAAACACTTTCTATTGACATACCAACTTCGCCGCGCGGCAAGCGTTAACACGTCTTGTGTACACTCGCTCATAAAATAATTGCAACACTTTTTTTAAAATCATTTTTAGAACAGTCTGTTCAGCGATTAATTACTATTAATGGATTTAACCAATTACGTTCAAACGCTTAATGATGCGCGCCAAACATGAAAATTCCAAAAATTAAAAATTTAATTCAGATAATTTCAAAAAATATGTATGCGAATATAAATATATATATATATATATATATATATATATAGTTTATATATATATATATATAAAGTCACCCAAAGAGTATTTATTGTGGAGTTTTCTTTTCTTTTTTATATTTTATTATTTTATTTTTTTAATTTTCATGTTTGACGCGCATAATTAATGACAACGTATACATAGAAACTGAAAATAATTCC